GTCTTCATAAGTAAGGAAATAATGCTTTAACAAGGAAGAAATATTTTGCCCGAACTACAAAGTCCAGAATAAGTTGCTATAGGCTACCCTGGTGCCTAGGTTATCATTACCCCTGAACTGTACCAAACAACACATCACGGGCATCTTATTGACCTATTAGATAATCTCTGTCGACTTCTAAACAATTAGTCGAAATATAAGAAAAGACAAGAAAGAAACAATTATATTTTACAAGGATAACAACTTAGGTCCACAGTAAAGGATCCTTTGTACCAGCTGGTCCCTGGCCAAACCTCTTGGCATTGATAATCTATTTCCTGGATTATCCATACCTATTCACAGCTGGGTCAACTGGAATTATAAGTGAAGATGACATATTCAAGGTTACCAGATTTTCACACGTCGATCGAGATCGGCACCCACAGCCGCAATTTGCTCGACGTAACCAATGACGTCATGTAAAGAACCAACGCTCTAACCGACTGTGCTTTAGAACCTTGCACAACCCCATTCCATGGTGTTTCGGATACGAAGGGGATACGAGAGGTGTCTTAACTTAGCAAAGGCGAGTCTGGAGCTCGAAAGGTGGAGAATCGAGTCTCTATACACAACACATATGATGTAGAATTCCATTTAATACACCCGAGATTAAAAGGGGTAAAAAATGTCCCTTTATTTGAGAAGCATATTGTCATTTATTTTGCAGGAGATGGTCTTCCAGAAATCAGAGTTATAGAACCAGAATTCCGTCCAGTTCCTGGCAATGTTTCTTACAATGGTGGTGATATGGCTAAATTATTTTGTACAGTAGATTATTTAGGAGATAGAACGGTAAGCTGTTTTATTAAATTATTCAGGTCAAATTAGGCCTATGATGGATCATTTCTTGTTGTTTGGATTTCGGGTTTCGTTTTGCGGTTCGGATCGTTAGTAGGCCTACTTATTTTAATTATTTTATCCTAAAGGGGCCTTTTATCCGATTGGAATTTAAAACCTTTTTTTTTTAATCACTAGTATCTGTAAGAAGTTTCAATCAACACTTTTTTCAAATTCAACATATAATATTTTGGGCAAGAAAGTTTGAAAAACTTCTAACAATCTGTTTAACTCCTGTTTAACCATGTAAAACCATTTAGATTGTCTATCCAGTTACTCTTCTACCAGAAATATTACTTCTTTTTTAACTACTTAACATCAGCTTGCTTGTTCCCACGTAGTCACGTTTTTAATTGGAATTTAAAACAAGAGTAACTTTTTTTAATCATTAATAAGTTTCGCTCAAAAAGGAAATTTCAATCAACACTTTTTTTCAATTCTCCAATCAATCAGAAATTTCTTTCTGCATTTCCAATTTTTAGTTGCAAACATGATTTTGATACGTCTAAGATTTCCTCTTTTTCTAAAGAGTTGATGATTAAAAGACTCTTTATACATTGTACTTTTTGGAAAAAAAAGTCGTCATTCATGCGTACAGTTTTTGTTCCGGGGTTATTGATCTTGGCATGAGGGATAGTTGCCCACTAGAAAATTGGTTTCATTTCGTTGGTGAGAAACTGTCCTACACTCGAAAACTGTAAAACGTAGCCTTTTAAAGAAAGGTTATAGAGGGTTTGTTCTTCTGATTTGATCGAAAGTCAATGTCTAAGGCTTTTAAAACAATCTTATGTCTTAAAAGATGTCGAGTACGCATGTTACCATGTCGGGCAACTAGGATACATATTCTTACATGAATTCGAGATTCATTTTCATCAGTGAAACTAAATGACCTTGTTGGATTATCTTACGCGACTGATTTAGTCAAACAAGCTGTAACTGGATAGTCCCGAAGAAATTCGAGTCGCGATCAAATACACTTATCAGTTGTTGGACAGAAGACGATGCATTTATGTTGCTTCATTGTTTATTTATCCTTACAAAATGCGGTAAAACTAGTATGCAAATCAAAGTGGCTTTTACATAACTAATTTTATGCATCTTTATGCCCAAATGAATATGGTCATAGCATGCAATAATGGCCTTATTGGGAAAATTTCTACCAACGCTTTTTCGATTCGACCCTTTTGTGCTGTTGTCATCAAGGGGACTTGATAGTTTAAATTGTTTTTGACTCATTTGCTTCTGACTCCTTTCTGTCAATTACCCGCACAGCAAGCAGTTTGTAAGTGAAACACAGACTTCAACTCAAATTTGTGTTTTAAGATTTATTTACGGAAACATTCGACAGATTTTTAAAAGCTAATAAATTCCAACAAGAATTTTTTAAAAGACGAAATTAATCAAGAGATTTTGAAGTAGATATTAAAGGTAGTTAAAATATCCACGGGATTAAATGGTTAAAGTTTCTTCATAAAAAACACATGTTGATAGTTAAGATTAAAATCTCTACAAAATACTTAAAACAGTTTTTATACAGATCATTTAACTCCTTTTAGATGTTATTTTGACGGTATCCAGATAGCATCGAGATAAAACAAATGTTGCTATTAGAATATAATATAACGTTTAATTGAATTTGTAAAAATAAGTTTTCGGGCGCTGCTCTATTTAAAGCTTTTTGGTACGTCTGTATGAAATACAATTCCAAATATGTTTTGTTTTGTTCGCCATACTACAAACAGTTTAATCACCTCCTTCATTTCTGTTCTATATCTGTGAAATAGCCGATAAAATTAAATAGACGTTGCTATGTACAGTATCCATGCAACTAGGTTAAATTACAGCATCTACTGGCCGATGTGCAACTGCGTAATGATTTTTGACTGATGTAAAGCAACTAGTATCTATTCGTTAACATGCAGCATTCTACTCCACTTGCACTGCACCAGTTCTGGAGGGGACGATCTTGTATTTCTTCCGAACTGCATATGTTTAATCCTTAATAATAATTAGAAAATGTTTAGAGATTTACTGCTTCCGTCTATTGCGATGAAGAACAGACGCAGACTGTCATTTGGCATACTCAATCGTACACAAATATATAACGAATATCACTTTCTATTAAATATAGAAATAAAACCATCACCAATTATGATGACCTACGCCAGATGCCACTGTGGAATTTAATGTTTAGAAATGTTTATGATGGTTTACGAGCTATTAGTGCTCAATTTATAGTTTTTAGAGTCTCTGGTATTAATTTTAAATATAATTTATGTTTTCTACATTTAACTATGTTCAGATATTTTCAATATTTTAAATGTTTTAAATATGCTGTGGTTAATTGGAGTATCTATTTAAAATTTGTATTTGGAGAGTTTAGAATTATTGTCATACAAACCACGCGACCAGTGTGAAGCGGAAATATCAAGTCTATAGAAATTGCATTTCTAGGGATAGAATTGGAAAGCCAATTAAAAATATGGCCTATGTCACTGGAAAAACCTCAGTAATAAGTGTTCTATTAAACGTAGGTAGATATTTTAATACTTTTATACCAAATTTCATTTTAAAAAGGATTCAAATTATCGTTTCATAAGTTGAATTCGAAAATGAACAAACAGTTTATTAAAAGAAGAAAGTTGTTTCAAAGTAAAAAAAAAAAAAGATATGATTAAAGAAATTAAAAAGAGAAATTTCCATTTTTAAGGGCATAAATCTTTGTTTGATTATACATTTCAGTTCTTAAATGATAAGACAATAAAATAATTTGTTGAGAAATGGGATTGTTATTAACTGTGAATATAAACATATCATTAAATTAGAATTAAATAGCCATTATATCAGATAGTTGTCTTTTCTTCTAGCACTTACTGGTGGTCTACAAAGATAATGAATTACTGAGTTGTGACGTCGGGAATGCCTTGTTAAAATGTTTAGATACAGTGATAATGATAGTGAAATATATTATAAATTAATTGATAATTGTGTAACGTAATATCTAATACGAAATGATAAGAAAAGAAAGGCTTCAAAATGATATAACAAAGTTATTTCCGACCATTTTGCTAGTCTACAATAAAACGTTTCAGATCCAGACAAGATACGAAATGTTGCGAAAATTGTAGAGAATCTTTTGGAACCGACCTATTGTCACTTACAACATATCACACTAGAGAATGTTTACATTTGCAAAATCGGATTGATTATTCGTCCTCGAAACATAATTTTACATTGTAATATAATGTAAGAAACAAAGTACAAATTTTACCCCAGTAGAAGTGTTAAATTTTTTACCGCTTTGTTCAAGCGAAAATTACCCTTGGACATGTATAAACAGCGCGTATCGTATGAGCACCTGGTGCCACTTTGTGATTCGGTTTTAAATTAGGAATCTTTTACAGGGGTCTACATAACTAATATTGATTTGTTATATTTGGCAACGGTCTATGTTCCTATTTGCTCTCATGTTGATGGCTTATGTAGAATTTTTCGATGAAAGGTGATAGTTTTCTAGCAGTTTCAACTACCAGTGGGACACTTCTTCATTTTGATGTCATTGTTTTTCAACTGTAGCTCCATCAACTGTTTTCAACAGGAAGTAATCTATAAACGATGAACTCTCAAGCACGTCTGACAACATTTTTTTGGATTTGAAAAATTTTAATGTTGGAGTTCTGGGGCCATGCTTGTCTATTTAAAACATGATGCATTTCATCAGCGTTGAAGGCGTTGGTAGGTAAAAATGTCGTTGTGAATATTGTTGCTTCTGATATAAATACAATATTGGTCAGATACAATCTATGTACGCCATGTGAATCTGTAAATTGCGACATCTTAGTATTATAACCAACTGAACAATCTCATATCTTTAATGAGTTCCGATTTATTTAATTTTTATGTCAGTCAGTTTAGAATTGCGACTTTTTCTGTATTTCACGAATTTATTGATTCGACAAAGTAAGCTTTATAATTGGACATCATTTACTACTTTCTGGCTTCTCATTGTTTTATTAAACAAACAACGCATAGTCGTTTCCTTACTGGACATACCATGTTCATGTCTTTTTCCATTACTCAAGGAGCTGAGTACTCGACAGGACAAATAACTTTATGTAATACATATTGATGTTTCTTGATACAATACATTTAGATGTTGATGTTAAGTTTCTTGATACAATACATATAGATGTTGATGTTAAGTTTCTTGATACAATACATTTAGATGTTGATGTTAAGTTTCTTGATACAATACATTTAGATGTTGATGTTAAGTTTCTTGATACAATATATATATAGATGTTGATGTTAAGTTTCTTGATACAATATATATATAGATGTTAATGTTAAGTTTCTTGATACAATACATTTAGATGTTGATGTTAAGTTTCTTGATACAATACATATAGATGTTGATGTTAAGTTTCTTGATACAATACATTTAGATGTTGATGTTAAGTTTCTTGATACAATACATTTAGATGTTGATGTTAAGTTTCTTGATACAATATATATATAGATGTTGATGTTAAGTTTCTTGATACAATATATATATAGATGTTATGTTAAGTTTCTTGATACAATATATATAGATGTTGATGTTAAGTTTCTTGATACAATACATATAGATGTTATGTTAAGTTTCTTGGAACAATACATTTAAATGTTGATGTGAAGTTTCTTGATACAATACATAAAGATGTTGATGTTAAGTTTCTTGATACAATACATAAAGATGTTGATGTTAAGTTTCATGATACAATACATAAAGATGTTGATGTTAAGTTTCTTGATACAATACATTTAGATGTTGATGTTAAGTTTCTTGATACAATACATTTAGATGTTGATGTTAAGTTTCTTGATACAGTACATTTAGATGTTGATGTTAAGTTTCTTGATACAATACATTTAGATGTTGATGTTAAGTTTCTTGATACAATACATTTAGATGTTGATGTTAAGTTTCTTGATACAATACATTTAGATGTTGATGTTAAGTTTCTTGATGCAATACATAAAGATGTTGATGTTAAGTTTCATGATACACAGGAGGTACGTGGGTACATCTGTTATAGACGGTTATTAATCATGCCATGTTATATAAGAAATATCATTTCAGTCTTATCATATATATATATCACTGATTAAACACATTTGTGGTATATATTTAATGGGAATGCACTGTACCCAAGGCGTTAACCTCGACACCTGCTAGTTTGGCAAGCTTGTGTTTTATTTTTATGCAATACTTCACTCTCTAAAATTATTGTAATAGTTTTTGTAAGTACACCAAAATTGTTACATATATTTGTTAGACTGGAAAATAGTCTTTTATTTCTCTATCCCAACAAACGTTGCCAAAGTATATTGATCGAGGAGGCCATCTAAGTTGACTTATTTAGAATAAAGCATGTGTTAATATCATTTTAAGAAATTTATGAAAAAAAGGCGCTAGTCATTTTTTCTTATTTAAAAAAACCATCAATTCACTATCGTAAAGATCAGACAGATCGTCATTCAAAAGCGATCTTGTCAAAATGACGACGATCACCAATCTCTACAATTGTCGGAATGTTTAAAAGATATCATCGAGTAATTTATCAAATATAAATTCACAAAAATAAAACGATATGAAGGTTATATCATTATTGTCTATCCCTTATTGGATTGACCTAATGAAATACCACGTACATTGGGAAAAACTTGCTAGAACAAGGCGTCACATCAAACATACTTAATAGTGCGAATAGGACAAATGCAAGAGTCCTCTTGCAGGCTGTGCACTTCAAGATTCCCCGAAAGTAGACATCAAATGTTGCTATTATACTGGAAAATATTTCCCATGAAGAAGAGTTGAACGTAAAGTATCATTAGGCCTTGAACTACCTTTAACCACAGACCTGTATGAAAATAAACACAGCGAATATGCTGAATTATTATATGTTTACTCCCTGTAACAAATTACCATAATGAAGAGAAAACAAAATATGGTGTGGTGTAAAGGTGTGCCAATTCTACACATGGAACTGATAAACTAAACGACGAGTAGTAACAGTCTATAATACTATTAACATCTTAATTAATGGCCTGACACTAATAGTTCGTACAGGCTTGAAGTAATTCTATATCTGATACGACGAATATTGGACATCTCGTACAACACATAAACCGAAATGGTAACTAATATTTAAACGTCTGACCGATAGCATTTCGTCATTCAACCCTAGAACACCTGAAACAATTTTCTGTCTGAAAATGGCAAAGATGTAAGTTTCATCAGTTGCTTACCATGCATCGTGTCCAAACCATGCCCCAAAAAAACACTTCCTCAAATTAATAAGACCATGCTAAAACCCATATTCGTGATGGGATGCTTGCACATAATAAGTTCACCAATCTACTATCTTAATGACAAGTGATGGTGTTTGCGAAACACAAAGTAACTTGAGAGGAATAAAGCTTATTTGAACTAAATATAATACTAGTCTCTCAGCAGGATTTAGTAAGCGTATATCTTTTCTAAGTAATTTACGTGAAGGTGAAGCTGAGGATCGCTCACAAGAACTTAAGTATCCTCATATCAGTGTTATTAGAGTACTTGTACAAGAACCGTCTGTGTATCTAATCGGTTTGCTCTAATTATTTGGGGTAATAGGTACTTACAGAAACTATGTAATGTTCGGGGGAGACAAGTAACATAACTATAGTTATCACTTGTTTGACACACGGCAGTAATATTACGTTCAAGTGAAAAATATAATGATAATTCTGCAAGGCCAATAGAGATATGTGTTATTTACGTTTTTATATATAGAATCAATACTGTCTTTCTTTAAGGATTGGAAACATTGATCGAACTGAGATGTGTCTAAACTTTTGCTTGATCTGTTGATTTGTAGAAAGAGGAGTGTTTGTAGCTCAAAACATAGGATGTAACGGAAAACTGATTGATGGGATCGAATACTTACTTGCTGTTGTACATTACATCTAAAAGGCTGTGGTGTTCCATAATACTGCTGCTGATCTTAAGATTAACTTGTTTAACAAGTAGTATCTAGAAGGTTACGCTTCTTATTTTGGTATAATGATAATTGGTTATGAAACACACAAATATTCAATTAACATAATATGCGTGGGTAGAACATGTTGCTATATGAGGTTCATGTCGATTTGTACTCAGTTTGTGTTTGTATGGTAAAACTCTCATTTTATATCATTTTTGCATTTCACTCATTCATCTCTCATCCTTCATAATTATCTCAGTCCACCCAGTCGTAAATGAATTCTTCATTCAGGGAGATAATTGCATTACAAAGATGGATGTCTATAGACTGGTTGTGTTAGAATTGTATTTGCATATATTTTTCTCGATAACATGTATCTTTTCCATTTAATAATATAAACCAACTAGATTCAACGATACATCTGATGATACAAGGTGTTTGCAACTCTACAGTAGTCTTCTGCGGAATCAGACAGCTAAATTATGTTTTTTTTTTTACTTACAGGTGACGTGGCGAAAATTACCAGAAATAAGTCCTTTAACAATTGGTACAGACACGTGGACGGACGACTCACGAATTCACGTTGAACACGTTGCTAAAGACAATGAATGGAATCTGATTATTGATGACGTAACTCGAAGCGATTCCGGAGAGTATGAATGTCAAGTGAGCACACATCAACGTAAAATGAGAAATCGAGTGCGGTTAAAAGTGATAGGTAATGTATAGATACTTAAGTATATAATGATTCGTAGATAGCAACAGTATATTGTGGATCTAACTTTATGGGCCTATCAATTAACTAACAATCTATATTATATTCTCATGTTGGTGATACAGTTCACAGTCCAATCCTTATAGCAATTGCAACTACCAGCAAGGCATGTAAAGGCTTTAAACGCCGGTTTCCTTTCAGTTTTGATATTTATATGATCATATGAGCCTTGATATGGAGGAGGGCTTCTAGCAGGTACTCCTAATATTGCAGTAACAGAGACAGATATTACTACAGTATTTGTAAAAATGACTGACAAATTGAAAAACTTCCATTGTGCATTTTATTACATTTTTTACTCATCCGCTTACATTTCACTGTATTTATTTTATCAATTTCAGACGACCCTGTGAAAAGAAATCCAGGTACGTTAAAATTACTTTCTGCGTAGCAGTCATTGACTGTTGGATTGTATAAGTCCACTTGAAGACGATAATGCCTGTTGAATAGGGGATAAAAATCGTATTTTCGAAATCCAAATGATAATTGTTATGTAAAATAACTGGTTTTTTTCATTTCAGTTATGCAAGTTAGTGGTACTCAATTTTTAGAAAAATACTCAAATATGCAAATATATTGTAATACGTCATCACCGAAAAATCGAAAAACAAAAATAGCGTGGTTTAAAGATGGACAGAAGTTGTCTCAAGCCACAGATTGGAGAGTGACCATTAAAACGAACACTACCTCATCTATAGCAACTAGTTTATTAAAAATAGAAAAAGTTACGGCCACAGACAGTGGAACGTACGTTTGTCGTAATTCTAATATGAGAGATATGACAACTATTCAAGTTTTTGTGATCAATGGTAAGCTTATATTTTTTATAAATTCTTTATTTTCTAGATTCAAGGCAGCTCAAAAACTATGCTGGTGTATATTTGAACCTTTTGCACTCACTTGCTTTAACATCACAACCATAGACTGTTTGAAAGCCACGAGAAAACTAAATTAGCTAATTTGTAGACTATGTGGTCACTTGGTCTGCAAAACTAAAACAAATTATATTTACGATCAAGACTAATTCCTGTAATACGGACTAATTCAATCGGAACTGAAGTTGGCGTCTGAAGACATTTCTAAATGGACCAATTATCTCGTGTAAATGTTAACAGCTCATCATAATAACAGTCAAACATTTCCATTCCACTTAGGACAAATTAGATTTTCATAAACGACCTGTTTTCTGTTTTCTTGGATATGAAGATTCAATTGTAAGATATTGTTAAGTCTGTTATCAATTGTTCAGTCAGAAGAGCTTGTTCAATAGACTTTTGGGCACAGTACTCTGTTTCATAATGTCCAAGATTGTTTTCCAAATCAAGACAGCTAGAAGCCGCTGAAGGTTATTTCATTTCAATTGTTCCATAACTCATAAGTTATAATTATAATATACATCTATTATAAAACTACACAATTACCCATCACGAATTTGATTTGGATAAGGATCAAATGGTGAGTATCGGAGACAGTTTACATTTAAGAGTCGGGTTAAGATAGAGACGACTTTAGTTCTGTGTTCAAGCAATCTTTTAGTAATAATAGATTTATTGTGAATGAATCATTTGATATACGACTCTGTTTCAATTGGTATTATTTCTTTTATAAAACGTATTAAAAATTGGCAGCTGAAAGAATTTCATTTAAATAATGTAATTGGAATGTGACAATAAACACCCACATAAAAGGGTAGATGTAATTAAGTGTAATTTTTGTCTGTAAAATACAAATAGCTTCTCTGTCTGGGAAGGTTGAGTACAAACTATCTGCATGTTAAAGGGGTGATGTCTAACATGGTTTCAATATCACTCTTATGCAACATAGTCTTTATTCAATCCCCCAAAAAAATTCCCATGTCACATACATTATTTCCGCTCAAGCTCTTATTAGAAGATTGTTGCAAATTATGTAGCAATTTCCTGTTTTAACTGGAAAGACGTCAATATACAAGCACAAGAAGTTTATAGAAACCAATTTATGTTTTGGATATCGTCAACAGCTCCTTCAGTTTGATGTATAACGGTGTTCTAGCAACCGAAACCAAGGATGATATTTTAAGATAAACTCCCTGAAATATTTCATTTACTGCTAAAGAAAATTGTTGAGTTGGAATTCATCGATTTTTTTAAAAAAAAAAAAAACAAACTAAGCGGATAACATGTACCAAGTTCCGTAGGCGTTGATAGTTTGGATATATTTCGTGGTTTTATGTGTTTTCAGTATTTTATAATTGTTATGTTTTCTTCATTGTAGGTGGATCTAATAATGTTAAACGAGGTAAGTCTGTTTATGTTCTCTCAATTAACATTACCTTTATTAAGTTTTCTAATTAAAATACCTATCTTTTCAAGGGTAGTTTCATCATGATGAAAGTCTTGTTTTGTATTTTGACAATAAACACCTACTCTGGAAATACTTTGAAGATATGTGAAGTCCTGACTAACAATCCATATAGATTTAATTCACAAATAACCAACCGTAAATCGAATACTCCTGTAATCAAAGTCATACCTATGTTTTATGGAATGCAACGAAATTGACGATTTTGTGAATTGGTTGCGAATTCACATTGCGCACTACCTATACAAAAGGGATGGCATAAAACCTCAAGAGGGTTTGGTTTAAAAAGTAAGACTGCACAAAACCAACAGCTATAGTTGTTTCGCCAAGCAAAGATGTTACATTTCTCTCGATACACGGCACGACATGATGACATAGGGATGACAAATTCAAGATTATATCATTTTTATCGGCTTCAAATTTCGTCATTTATTCAAAGATTGTCATGTAAAGTTGCTATGATTGACAGCAAATATTAATTTAATTAATTTTCTACTGCAGAGGTCAGATTTGTAAATGGCCGATCTAAAATAATTGGCACTTATATTATAAAGTCAAGGGGAGCCAATAACACAAGAAAGAAGGGAAGGGGTCGGGTCTCCGTAAAAACGTCACTGGGCATAAATTTAAGGTCTGTAGTCACAATATATAACATTGTAACTAAGGACATTTTTTTGAAGGCATGTTTATGAGTAGAGTGAAACTCTTTAAAAATTTATTTTTGAAAAAATATGTAAATTGTTTTCAAATGGGAATTCAGCCAAAATGGTTCGATTATCTGCATTTTTTTAAAATTTGACTTGATATAATGCTTCAAGATTTAATCCAGAGAAAATTAGTCATCTTCCATCAATAATCATAAAATAATTTTGGAACATGTGTCTTTAGAAAACTTTTATTGACGAATTCCATCACCCCGGAAATAATTTCAGAGTACCGAGCCGGATAAAGGACAAAAATAGGCCCGGTAAAACAAACTATATAACTTGAATCGAAAGTTAGTAGTTTGTAAATTTAATATTTTCTTGCCAGTGAACAATCAACTGGGAATTATCTTCAGTTTTTTTTTAAATTTTAGTGCTTGATGTGTTCAGGCTTTTATCAGCTAAAACGATCAATGGTGTATAAAATGACACAGTAAGATTGTGGTGTCAGTGTGTTTCTGTCATATCATTACACAATGTGATGGCTTTATTATTATGTTAAGAATTAACTTTCTTGACCGGATATGTCAATCTTCCATAAGCGTTTGTAAGTAAGTGTTCTTGATTACAAAATACACCGGCGTCGTTTCAAAAGACCTAAAGTGCTAAAATGGGGTGTCTATAAAACTAAGAACTAAGACCTAAGACCCAACTATAAAACTAAGACCCATAGGCCTATAAAACTAAGACACAGCTAGAAAACTAAGACCCATAGAGCTATAAAACTAAGACCCAACTATAAAAATAAGACCCACAGGGCTATAAAACTAAGACCCAACTAGAAAACTAAGACCCATAGGACTATAATACTAAGACCCAAAATTTCGATTTTTTAGACAAGTTTTAAATATGTTATAATTTAGTTTTATAGTTGGATCTTAATTTTAAAGTCCTATGGATCTTATTTTATAGTTGGGTCTTAGTTTTATAGAGTCTTAGGTCTTAGTTTTATAGACACCCGCTAAAAGGGATCATTGAGTTTATCTGAATTTAGCTCAATCATGTGCAAAAGGTAAGACTTAAAACTTCTATTTGGATGGATACCTGTGTGCTCGAGTCGAATTTTCCTTAACAGTATTGCTCATACAATGTGTTTCTTGGAGGACTGTTTAGTGTTAAATCTACTTCCGATATATAAAACTTCACCAGATAAACCCTTGTTAATCAGTAGTAAATATAACTATTATATTTTTTCTATAACCTTTGGTTTCTTAAGATTATATACTAATTCATCATTTGAGCAAAAGATGAAGTTCATTAGTCTTGAAGTCCGAAGATCGAGTTTCTCTAGCGATGTATATAGGACATGTTCATCCATTTTGATATCCACTCTCAAGAAGTTCACGTAGCTTATAACGTGAAATGTGTATTTGTTGTAAACTGCATGTGATTTTAGAATATGATCAGATGATAATATATTATACAAAGTTCTTGTTTTAAATTCTACAACAATACGTTTCCTGCACTAGACCACCGTCAATGATAAAAGTTATAGTCTATAGGTTAAAAGCTAAACACTATTTCATATTTATTGATAGAGAATAGTATTTGGATCTCAATTTAGACAAAGAAAAATAAACAATATCAAGATATTGAAACACAATACATAACGATATTTTGTATATCATAATAACATCTGTTTAAAACCACTGTAGTATTTTGACATATGCCGTTTTTCAAATGCCATTCCTGAAGTACTTTAATGCCAATGAATTCTGCCTTAAAAGAAGACCACATTTTCATTTTTTGTACTCTTTGGTAATATAAATCAGAAAACAGTAAAAATCGTTATATCCTCAACTAAACCGTCATTTCGATGTCATGATGGTGACATTTTATACCCAAATCACATAGAT